GACGGACATTGCACAAAACCAATATACTCATTTCACTTTCGTGAATGAGTATAAATATTGCATTCATGCCAAAATTTTCCTATAGTGACAATGGTTGACTATATTCTGAGTAAAATAGATGAAACAGTTTGAAACAGAAATAATCAAGGGACCAACAAACGTTAAAGCATCAACAAATAGATCTAATCCGGTCTTCGATATTAGAAGCCTTGCCAACAGTTTATATACAACTTGAGTTATTCATAACTGAAATGCTTTGGCGAATATATCACCTAATTCTTTCTTACTGATTGATGACAAAAATGTTCTTATGTTCTTATCTAAACAAGTACTCACCATGGGTGTGTAGCGCCTATTTGCATATCGTCTGCTTCGATTTTCTTTTTACGACCCCTTCTCTTTGGTTGAGATCCTGAGCCTGGCCTATCCTGTTGCAAGTCGCAATTGTTCGATTTATTGGAGTCTTGAGAGGATGTATCGCCAGCCCTTCTAATTTTCGTGCTATGAGAATCAGTATGCGGTTCGCAGTTGGGCGTCAGCGATTGCTGATGTTCCTTGATGTTGCTATATATGTCACTGGGCTTTTGGGCAACCGTGACAATATCAGGACAAGGTGCAGAACCTTGAACTGGTCCTACAGGTGAATAGCCTGAAGCATTAGATGCGATACCCGGTATATCGCTAGCTGCTGAATGACCAGCTGGTGACATAATGCTCATTTCTTCGGCCATAAAGCTGTAGGGATCAGCGCTAACACTTTGTGACATCGGTAGAGCTGACAAAGCACCTTGGGCAACTCGCACTTGCGGACTACTGCTAGATGTGTCAGTCGCTTGACTTTGATTATGATGCAAGTTCAAGCTTAAGTCTTCATGTTTACTTTGTGCAAGTAGCGGTGCCACATGTTGCATCTGATGCTGCGGGGTTACCGAGTGTGTGGACGAACTATGCGAATTGGGTGTTAAGACATCCCCAGCACTTGTCTCGTAGCCATCATCTTGATTTTCCGTTTTAGCATTGCTTGGAGACAGTGTTCTGAAAAAATATGAATTATGTTAGATTGCCTTGAGAAGTGGTAGAAAGTATATCTGGATTACCAACAGAATTTCATACGTTACTCACAACTTGTACCCTGAACAGGGATCCTCATGATATTCGTTGATCATAAGATCATGATATTGCTCCGGTATCTGTTGTTGTGTATTAGAAAGCGCATGCTGAATTGCTGATTGCCTTTGCATTGGGTCATGACAATCAATGTGATGCCCATGTTGCAGATGCTGTTGACCATGCTGCTGCTGTTGCTGCTGTGGGTGCTGATGCTGCTGTAGCTGCTGTTCCTGAATATTATGAGAATGATGAAGAGCAAACAATTGATCATGAGCATATTGCTGATGTATATAATTGACATAATGCAGCGATTGCTGATGCTCCAGGATATTTTCTTGATGTATGTTGTGCTGTTGCTGCGGATGATGCAGCTGTTGCTGCGGATGATGCAGCTGTTGTTGCAGTGAATGTGACTGTTGTTGCTGATGCGGATGTTGTTGCTGGGGCAGCATTTGCGCATACATGTTGCTCTGTAAATGAGTTTGCATATGTGAGTGATGCTGTTGATTGAAGCTCTGTTGTCGTTGCTCATGTTGCTCCAATGGCAGCAACTGCTCAAAATTTCCTGTGTTTCCAGCTGTTTCCTTTCCTATTTGCAAAAGTAGCTCGGCGGGATGATGTGGCTCTTGCTGTGAGCCAAACATGTTTGAGCCAGAGACTGAACCAGCGTCACCGCTAGAGACTGAGGCTTTATATTCGTCATGTGGTGCCCAAATTGTAGTTCGCCGTTCTGTATTTAAAATATCACCTGTTGTTTTTGTCGTTAATGTTATATTAGTAGGAATCCTTAAATTCACGTTGGAAGAAGAGTCTGTTTCACAACCATTGTTTTTATCAGTGGGCATTACTGGCATTGTGCTGCTGAATTGGACGTCAGTAGTAGTGGTATTAGTAGTATTGTTGTTTTTGTAGTGCAACTTGCCATGCTGAATCTGTTCGGAATTGAGTTGAGCTGGCACAACTAGTTCCACTCTGGTAACTAACGCCTGCTCCGGGGCAATGTACGTATTTGTGGCATATATTGGCTGAACTTGGCCCACATCGACAGAGGATGCTTTTTCATTTTCTCCCTCATCTAAGCTTTGGCTAACTTCTTGCTGACAAAAATTGGCCACATTTGCACCATTCCGCTGTTTGGCCGAATTTCTGGTTTTATCACATATTCCATGTGCTGCTTCTTCCTCTTCATCTATGTTCTCATTAATGTCATCATCACCATCATTGTTATCGTTATCACTGTCATCATCATCTTTCGCCTGTTGACAGTATAGATCTTTTTGATTACTTTCGCTTCTTGAATTATGCAGTTTCTTTCCATTATATTCCTTTTTTTCAATATTATTGGACTTATCGCTAATAAAAGTGGGACTGGTAGAATCGTCGCACTTTATAGCTGACGTTGTTGCTGCCTGATTCTCAGTGGTATCTATATCTGCCATTCCACTCGTGACTCTAGTAAGAGCTATTACCAGTGCTTGAACCAGTATATATTTCAACCCGATAACGAGTATTAATATCTTTAAGATATCTTTACTAGATAATATCCCTATCGTTATTCCTGATATTTTTATATTCAATGTAAAGGAACTACTTATCAGCGGGCTTATCTCTAGCGCACTATTTTTCACTTGCATCTCCCGTGTTGATTAGGCTTCATTAAAGAGGTTAAGTCTTCGTGTCTGAAATGCAAGCCGATACGATTTATTAGCTTATGATGAGAGTTGCTCCATAAGTCACGATTTAAGTACAGAGTCATTGAAGAAACAAATATATATTTAAAGAATCGAATCAGTAATAAATAAAACCAATAAACGAGAGTGGAAACCATTTCGTCACTGTCGATGCTTGAAATTTTGCATCTAGGTCTTTTTACTTAGTAAAAATCAAAATGTTATTAGCTACACTAGAAACTAAATGCTAACAGCTCGTTGTCCTGATGATATTACACTGTTTTTATACCCTGAACCCATTGAAAATGGGAAATCAGGGTATAATGATTTTGTTAAAATGTATGTAACAGGCAGAA